GGTTCAAATTGCTTGATGCGGCCGTAAGCCAGGAAGGTCCATTGTCAATATTCCTGAATCAGTACCACAATGAGCTGGATGGTGACATCCTTACCCATGATGACTGGCTAATACTCAAAATGACCCATGAGTTCTTACAGCCGTTTTACCAGGCCACCCTGGAACAGCAGATGGAATGGGCATCAATCGATCAGGTGCTGGAGAATATGGATATTCTTTTCAAGCAGTTTGAGGATGCCAAGGTAAGGACCAACAGTGTGATCGATTACTGGGAGTTTCGCTGATGGTGAAGCAGGTCAAATACGTGGACAACGCGCACATGGTTAATTCCGTGCATATGGGCTGGTGGGTTCTCTCGAAGTATTACGAGGAGAGCGACAAGAATCCCATAAATGCCACGGCATTATTGCTCCACCCAGAAAAACGCCGCTTGAATGGTGGTGCCGAGAAGAACAAAGGATGGAGTACCCACGCTTGCTTGGGCCGAGGAATGGCAGCAGACGGCCATTGATGGCGCACGGCGCCTTTGGGCGAAATACAAAGACCCGGCCGCTCTCGTCGGAGTTGGCTTGTTCGGGTAACGAACGACGGGAAGCTACTCCGTACCAGCGAATCAAGCAATCGATGAGCGTCTTGGATACACTTGGCGATGAGGTTGAATTCGAAAAATTCGTCAATTCTGCGCCGAGACACATGATGACAAAAACGCCGCTTGAATGGTGGTGCCGAGAAGAACAAAGGATGGAGTACCCACGCTTGCACCAAATGGCACTAGACGTGCTCAGTGTGCCGGCGATGTCAGACGACCCAGAACGGGTATTCTCTTGCACAAGGCGGACCATTTCTTGGGACAGGGCACGGCTCTCGCCCGGCACTGTTGAGGGGCTGCAATGCCTAGGTAATTCACTATTGAGGGGCTGCAATGCCTAGGTAATTGGGTAAAGAATGACTTGATCCGCAAACTCTACGTCGCCGTGGACGACGAAATCATTGATGTTACTGGCAGCGACGACGTAGCCGACCCTTCAGGACTATATTCATAAAAATTCATAAGCCTAACAATACATATGAATATAACGGTGGAACAATGAATACATAAGAATATGTCAAAATTATGTATGCAATCATTACTGAGATGTCTGGTTTGGATGAGGAGGCATGGTAGTACCGTAGCACTATAACAATAGCTTAATGCTGACTAACGTATCAAGTAAATCAAGTCGAATCAAGTTAAGTAAGTTCACAGAGGATTTTATTTCAAGTAATCAAGTTACACCCCCGAACTTGACTTACTTGAATTGAAGTCATCGCTGCTTTCAACCATGAAACTTGAACTGTCAACTCAGCAACTCCCCACGTTTTCTTTCCTTCTAGTTTAAATCAAGTTAAATTGGTGTCGATAGCTACGTTAGTTGACGTGGTTGAATGGCATTGAGTGGTTAACATCCTTTATGCTGGTCTCCTTCCCAAGTAACTGACACTTCAACCTTGCCATACTCTCCTTGAAGAAGCTTTTTCTCCGTACCCGACCCTTGAGGATCGAACGTTGCTGAAGAAATCGCTATCTGGTCGTTAGGCGACCAGTCAGAGTCATAGTCCCAAAGATCGACATGAATAGTGAGCGTATCGTCCAGTGGTATGGCCATTGTAGCCCCCGATAACGGGATAGCTTTCCCCGGGTATACTTCGATGCTATCGTCGCCCTCTTTCTGAAAAAGGTCCCGCTGGACAAACCGGCTCGATACACTAACTTTCCCAAAGACATCGGCGGGGTTCTCCCCATCTCCATCGACTAGAATGACCTGGACTACCGCCTTTATAGCGTTGCGCATCACGACATAGTCCACGGTAGCCTTGCCATAGGCGCCTTTGATCTCTCTTTGCATAGCCCTGTCGTATTCATTATTCGTGTCGGATGCTTTCCATGAAATCTGGCCTCGGCTAACCTCGTCGTTTGGAGATGCGTCGGCGTCATAATCCCAGAGGTTCAGGTCGATGACGAAATCTCCATCCGCTGCGATAGGCCGAGATCTGCTCAATATCAGATGTTCTCGCGGCCTGACAGACACGGCATTACCCTTTTCAACATTGTACATAGTTTGAGGGCCCAAGTTGTCGGTAATAGTGATGCTGCCATAGAGGTCACCTGGGTTCTCCCCGTCGATGTCATTTATCATGACCCAGAGGATCTCGGCTAACGGACGGGGATTGGGCTTGACGATGCAGACACCCGGCTTGGCTATTTCCGCTGCCAGCCGACGACAGCTGTCGTCTATGGCTCCCTGTCGCGCTACAAAAGAGGTCTGTAAGTTTTGTCCGGGAACAGGGGAGAACTAGTTGAGACATCGTGTATATACCTTCGATCATGGCCATTCTCTTTCCCCCGGGCAACTTGGACCCCCACAATGCAACCAATGCAACCAATGCCCTGCTACATTCCTCGGGGGTCAACAGACCCATGGCCACGTTTGGTCGTGACTCTTCCGGAATATCTACCGAAGCCCAATCTATCGCCTGCAACTCGCTCTGTACTCTGTCCCTGTCCCTCTGCTCATTCTCTTGCTCCGCGCCATATGTGGCCACTTCCATCATGGCCTCACCCTGGTATCTCGATAATTGCCTATCGGCATAGTCAAGAACCCAGTCGCTGAACAGCCGTCGATCGAATCTGGCAACTTCGCCAAAGATTTGTAGATGCATTATAGCACAGAGCGCCCAGTTGACACAGCTCTCAGGCGGATCTGCGAACTTGTTCGGCATTGGTACACGGCTGAAGAGGGATTCAATATTCTCATCTGACATGTCATTATCCAATGTACCGATTAGAATGCGTCCCAGAAGAGACCTTGCGCGAGAAGGGTCAACCCCTTTCTTCACCTGGAGGCGGAAGGGGCGGCCTGGATTAAGGATTTCTCCGGTCTGGTTGACCATGAGTGTATCCGTGGCATCGAAAGCGTCTGTGTCTTTCCCACTTTGTTTCTTTGGCGAAATAAGAATAGCCCAGTGAAACGCAGAATGGCCGAGCCTTTTGCGATCATTTCCAACCGACAATTCGAATCGATGATAAATTGCAAGATAAATGCGGCGCTTGTTCTTCTGACCTCTCGAATATAAACTGACGGAGTTGCTACAGATAAAGATTAGCCATTTAATTCGCCTGCCAATACATGGATTTGAGAATTGAGGCGAAAAAGGAAAAAATCATAAAAAGCAAATGAACCTTTTAGATTCTCCTGTGTTTCCGAGTATACTTCTTGATTGCAAGTTCTGGGGCCATGTTTCTTTACTGGGAAGTTCCAATGAGTGGCCCGGTCTGGCTGGTACCGAGAGCGCCGTGGCAGCGCTGCAGTAGTGAGACCAAAGAAGGAAGTGGAAAACAACGGATAGGACCGTTGCAAACCGAGATACGTATAACATTATAAGTACTCCAAACTAGCACGGATATATATTCAAGAAGGGTGTACAGAGTAGAGTGCTAAAACGGCGTTACTGGCCCTGGGCAAGAGGTATTTTATAGAAGAATGAGAAGAAGGGATGACTAACAATTTGGAGCATTGACTTAGGCCATCATGGTGCAAAGAGTTTTAAAGCTGGGCAATATACGCATTAGACATTCAGCGCACTGGTCCTCTGTGGCGTGCATATAATCCTCGTATAAAGCACTGTGGTAAAAGTCAGGCCCGCGTAAGAGCCAGGCCCTCGTAGCCAAAGTGTCAGGCCCCTCTAGCAATTCCCATTATAATAACTAGGGGGATTACTATACCGGCATGACACTTTAGCCACAACAGCATGAACCCTGCACTGGCATGACACTTACTACTTTTAATTCGCCTAAATTTTCTCGACCCATAGGTACTTCGTAATAAAGGCGGTGTAGTCTACTTTCCTAACATATCCTAAATTATTAGCATTGTGTGTAACAGTCTAGAGAGTATATTGACAACTGACCAGGGTGTCCTTCCAACCAACTCTTCCAACCAGTTGGCCAATCCAGTTGGCCAACCGGCCTGTCCAACCAACCAATCCTAGAATTTTGTTTCATCCAACCAACCAATCTGATCTTGTGGTTGGTTGGATGGGTTGACAACCCATCCAATTTCTTAGGCCATATTAGTTGACGCCACGGGTCAGCCTTGTCTTGGAATAATTGACGCGTCTAGAACTACGTGATCTGACGCGACGTGCCATGTTGACAACTTCCTGAAGCATGCAAAGATACAATATGTTAGCATGTACAACTAGCACACCGAAATAATCTGTGTAAACGGAGTCTTTTGCAACTAAAATTATCATTCTATCAAGACCACAAACTGCATGCTTTCTAAGTTCTTCTAGAGCTACCCAATTCTTCTAGCTTTGAATGGGCTATGTAGCTGGTTTCCAATAAAAATCCTTACGACATACGAAATATTGAACCTTGTGCTATCCTAATGGCAAACCCCAGGCACTTCAAGCTAATATGACATTGATTGTCGTGATGAAACCCCACCATGAGTACGTGACTGCTTTCTCGGCATGTGATCCAAACTTGCGGATTTCAACTGAGGCCGCGGCCTTCGTCTCATTCTGTACTTCGTGGCTCGTGCGGATCCCTTCCAATGTCTGCTGGCCTATGTTAGCTGCCTGTTTAAGTTCCTTCTTGATGTCGTCGAGAGCCTGCATCGTGCTGTCCACTGCAGTCTTCGATTGGCGTAAACTAACACGCTTCTTTTCCTTCCTCTCCAGCTTAGTTGTTCGTAGCCAATCCACTGCATTTCCAGTGCTTCAGGTCTATAGTTTGCATCACGCCGTGACTTACGATACGGACATATAGGGTAGGATGGCTCCTGCAACATCCCCGCGTGTGTCTGTTCCGTCGCAGACTCTCACCATCCAGTCTTGTGAACGTCCTGACCCACTTGGACACTGGCTAGGCACCACCATCCAGTCTTGTGTTCGCAATAGTAACGCGCTCATTAGGCTAGGCACCAGAATGGCGCGTAAAAACGCACTGGGCGATGCGTCAGACTACAGGCTATTCAATAACCCGTCGGGGAGGCGTGTACGTGCTGTTTGGGGCTGCTGTTTCAAAAATTCGTTCTCGCTGCGAAGCCGGCGCGGTGGGACGGGGCAACACGAGGGCTGAATTCTGCTGTCCAATGAATTGGCTGTCAGAAGGAACCATGGCGCCTGCAAAAAGCAACTCAACTAACAAAAAGAAAAAGGAAAAAGAAACAAAAAGCAACAACTACCAGACCAACTTTAGCCAGCAGTTAAATTTGCTCGTAGATAACTCAATTCAAGGATGCAAAATGGCGCTTGCAAAAAGCAACTCAACTAAAAAAAAAAGGAAAAAAAAAAGGAAAAAAAAAAAAAGCAACAACTACCAGACAGTTGAATTTGCTCGCAGATAACTCAATTCAAGGATGCAAACCTGAGTTTACTATAAGTTTGACCCATCGCTGGCGCTTTCGTGGCAGAGACGAGATCTCAGTTAGGTTGGATCAACACTTTGCGAGCCTAACAGTAGAGCCTAACAGTGCGAAGCACTTAGTTGATTATGAACTCTGATCAGACGGTAAAGCCGCAAATAAATGAAGTTGCAACCTCGTTAAGAGCTCTATCTTCACCATAATCCTGAAGTTGCGACCTCATTAAGAGCTCTATCTTCACCATAATCGCAGGACTGCCGCGATGTCGGAATTTTCGCCCCGTCTCCCTCCGTCTGGGAACCAGGCGCATGTTGAATCCCATTTCGAAAGCATGGGGGATATTGAAAGTAGCCCTTGCGCACGCCGGTCAGCTTCGTCATCTTCATTTTCGGCAACTAGATATTGAAAGCAGCCCTTGCGCACGCCGGTCAGCATCGTCATCTTCATTTTCGGCAACTCCAAGCTCCTTCTTCTCGACGGCACCTTCAATACCTGCCGTAGAAATCGACCTTGAAGCCAGCCCAAGCCACAGTGAGATTGCGTCTTTTCCACATCATGTCTTCAAACATAGACTTCGGTTTGCCACTCCGCCAAAGACAAAGCCTTCGCGGAAAGCATGGTGGTGGAAGAAAGGGCTCCGGGTCAAAGAGACGGATGGTGGCGAAAAAGTGCGTTGGGTATGCCGTCTTTGTGCAAGGAGGAAGTGCCGGCGCCCTCTCGACTACAACTTTGCCTCAGATGGCACGGCAAACATCGAGAGGCACCTTTTAAAGCGTCACGGTATCTATGTAAGCTTCAATGTGCTAATTCTTTCCTCCTGTGTGTATAACTATTCTTAATTGCTGACGTGCTGATTTTATAGGACATATCCGGCAAGAAAACAAAGCCAACCTCCACTTCGAAGAGCCTCGCGACAATGTACAACATCAACCCCGAGAGCAATAACGGACAGAATGTCTTGTATAGTATGCTCAAAAAAGTCGGAAAGACCGATGCATTGGATGAGCTCCTGATCGAATGGGTTACTACCGAGAACCTCCCTTTCCGCATTGTCGAGAGCACCAGTTTCCAGAATATCCTTCTCCATCTTAATCCCGCTTTCAAGGGCCGAATACCTTCCGCAATGGTTCTTCGAGACAGACTCGATACCGTGTACAAGCAGGCACAAGGGCCAGTTACAGAGCTTCTCGCGACAGCCCGGGGAAGAATTCACGTCACTTTTGATGGCTGGACATCACGCAATCGTCTATCTTTGCTAGGAATTAATGTATTCTTCATTGACGTAGACTGGAGACATCGCAAGTTACTTCTTGGGTTGCCTTCAGTCCAGGGAAGGCATACTGGAGAGAATCTTGCAGACGAGGTGGCAAGCGTGCTTGCATACTTTGGGATTGACGCTTCTCGATTAGGCTACTTCGTCCTTGACAACGCCCGTAATAACGATACAGCAGTCGCAGCCCTTGCTGATGAATTCGACTTCGACCTTGACCATCGCCGCCTTCGCTGCCTTGGCCACATCCTGAACCTAGTGGTGAAGCAGTTGATCTTTGGCGATAGTGCTAGTGCGATGGAGACCGAGGATGATGACGACTTCGATTTCAGCACTATCAGCGATGAGTTGAAGAAATGGAGGAAGAAAGGGCCTGTTGGACGGCTTCACAACTTCGTCGGGGCTATCAACAACTCCCCACAGCTCGTTCAACGGCTCCTTGAATGGCAGAAGGAAGATATCGCGTCCGGTAAACTTAGCTACATTGATAAAACAACAGGAAAGCTTAAGAAGCCTCTTATGCCCATATCCGACAACGAAACTCGCTGGAATTCGAGGTACAGGATGATGCAGCGTGCCAAGCTTCTCCGTTCTTACTTTTCTCGGTTGGTCATATACATCCAAGAACAATGGGAGCATGAGAAGCTGCGAAAGAAGGGCATAAAAAAGCCCACGATTCTTGATGATAAGCTAGAAGATAGTGATTGGGATGTTATCGAAGTGTTTCTGAAGATTCTTGGTGCCTTTGACGCTCTCTCAACCCGTCTACAGGGCAATGGCGAGCCTGATGAGGATGGCCACATCCGGTCTGGCGCGTTCTGGGAATACTTTCAATCCTTCGAGTTCCTCCTTAGCCATCTCGAGAAGCTGAAGATCAATACAGACCTGGTAGACGGGCTGGACTCTAAATCAGTTACTATGGTACGGAGTCATATTAATCTGGCCTGGGAAAAACTTGACAGTTATTACCAGAAGCTGTGTCCGCCTGCGTACGCCGCTGCTATTGTTCTACATCCTTGTTATGGCTGGGCGGCGCTGGCGAAGTATTTTAAAGGCAACCCTAATGCGAAGGAGTGGCTTGCAGAGCATAAACATTCCGTGAAGAAATTATGGGAGAAAGACTATCAGAATATGCCCTTGAAGTCCGCCGAGACTGCTTCATCATCATCAAAATCGACTTCCCACAAGAGACGCAGTGAATTTGAGACCTTTCTTGACTCAGCAATGGAAGACGATGAGGATGACATGGTGGCTATGGATGGTAGCATAGATCCCCTCCTTGACGAGTACGAGAGGTATTGTAGGACATGGAAGCGTGCGGATCCTCAGCTCTATCGAGAGAATCCGTATTTATGGTGGAAGGCGCGCGAGAAGGAATACCCAAGACTTTCTCGTATGGCCAGCGATTTTTTGTCCATCCCTGCGATGTCTGCTCAAACAGAGCGAGAATTCAGCTCTTGTGGACGTATGGTGGGCGTATTAAGAACAAGGTTGGACCGTTGGGGCATTGCTATGTCGCAGTGCATTCGTTCATGGAAGAAAGAAGGTATTATATAGTATGGCAGTCCGAATAAGACTCTTCGACTGTAACACAGTCTACTGTGCTCACTGATTGCCTTCCATTATATGTCGGGATGTATGACGAGACAAAAGTGCACTCTTCATGAAACGTCACCTGACCGCTCCGTCAAAGGATGGATTGCCAACTCATCCAACTCCAACCAACTCTGGGTTCTGGTTGGTTGGATCCAACCAATCCTTGCTTTGAAAATTTCCAACCGATCCAATCTAGGGGTCGAGTTGGTTGAGTTGGTTGGAAGGACACCTTGGGCTCACGACATCGAGCTCTCGAGCAAGCATATCGTACTCATCGAGCCGCTGTGTCCGGTCCCTAAGTTGTGGTGTTGTCGTTGTGATTGGCAGCCCTTGATAGTGGTCTTCCCAATACTTTTGAACACTGTCAAGGACTGTTTTGTGCCACGATTTGGGCCAGTTCTTTTTGATGTGGGCCAGGCGCCGCGACGGGTGAAGTATCATTGCGGCACCATATGCGGGACTCTCATCTGTGAGCTGGTAGTACTTGTCAAAAATGGCCCATGATGCTGCAATGCAGCTTCGGAGTGCACTGCTACTATGGTGTTTTTGGAATGCATGTGTGTAATGTTTATGAAGGACGTCCATGGTGAAGAGGGTACGATCGAGGGTAGCATAGCGGCCTTCTGTTAGTTGAGTAATCCTCCAGAATGGTTGTAGGAAGCTGCGTGTCTCCCTCAGGGCTTGCCACTCATCGGGTGACAGATAATCAGCCCGTAAATCATCATAGTATTTCCGTTGGTACCAATCCACATGGTCCTGAAGATCAAGGACAACATTTAACAGAAGGAACCATGAATTCCACCGCGTATCGTTATCGAGTCCCAATGACCTTCCAGCACGTTTCTTAAACAAATTCCATCGGTAGTCACTCTCACGCATGTGGACTGAGATGTTATGAACTTTACCCAACGGACCTAAACGCCGCCAGCCAAGCGCCTTCTGGGCCTTGACTCTTTCAATGAAATCAACGCCGAAAGCAGTTCCATCGCCGTCCTCGATCTGCTCCAGAGCCGCCGTGGCAGCTTCTTTCGAATCAATGAACAAAAATGCCTGGACCGCGAGGTTGAGGACGTGACCATGGCATCGAATTCTCTGCTTTTTTGCCTCCCACTTGATGCCTTTCTCTTGGAGGTGTTCTCCGAGGAAACGGCACAACTTGTCATTTGAGCCGTGGTTATCACCAGTGAAAAACCCTATTTTATTCCAAATGTTATAGTCCTCAAGAACTTGCCGAAGAAGCTTCCATTGCTCAGCTCCGCCGTGGCCACCCGGCCCGTCTAGGCCAGGAAGCTCTGACAGTGCCAGCAATGCCTGCAGTGTCTCCTTGGTGTCCGAATCCACAAATTTAACGCACGTTCCAAGGAAGGCTTTATGGTTTGGCGCAGACCAGACGTCCAAGGAAAGATGAAGCTTCCAAGGAGATGATTGGAGCTTTCTCCGCAGAATGTCCTTATGTACGCAATAAGAATTAGAGACAAGCTTCTGTATTGAACCGTGAGAGAGACTGATCAGGTCGTTTGCCGTGTGGTTGACCGCGCAAATCAGCGCATGGAGCTCTGGCCAGGAACTGCAGTTGTATGAGAGGTTACGGACAGTAACAAGCTGGACCAGAGCCTCTAGTGCGGCCTTCCGATTGACAGCGCTTCTCAGGGTTTCCTCTCGTCTAGTCGATTGCTTCGCAGCATGCACCTCACCAGCTTTTGCAAAGGCGTCCTGGATAAGACTGTCGCGCTGTTTCTTGATTGGGTTTTCGTTTGCTTCGAGCTGAATGGCGTGGCTATTCAGCAGGTGCTTGCGGAATGTCGTCGAGACCGTTGTCGAATAGGGAGGGTTGATACAGTTCATACAATAATAAAACTTCTCATTTCGTCGAGCGCAACGAACAGGCTCTGTGTCATACGGCTCACGAGCATGAGCCCAAGTATTTGCCGTTGTCTTTCGCTTCCTACCCCTCGGCCTGCAGACACTGCTGAGGCCTGGAGATGATTGGAGTTCGGTGGCGGCAGTTGCCGACCCCACATAACCACCTGTGGGTGCTGTAGAATGGAGCGAGGACATTTTCAAACGACAGCGTCAGCGTGAAAGTGTTCTGGTAGTCGTCTGACAAACCGCAGAGCAAAGGGATTACTTGGCCTCGTCCCTGAGCATGGTCAATAGAAATTTTTTATACGGATTAACTATTCTCCGTGGTATTCCATACGTATGGAATACTCACAGGCTGTATGGAATATGGATTAAGTGTATGGAATACTTTGTATTCCATACAACTAATCCATACACGTATGGATAGAAAGCCTGCGGGGACGTACGAGTGCGCGCAGAACGCGACGACGGGGAAGGCAGGATGGAATGTGTGTGGTGTGAACAGCAAGTGGGTGGTAAGTTCTAGTCCGGCATGGGATTTCCCGCAGCGAGGGTAGGATAAGAGAGTCAAGTTAGTTTGCTGACAGGATTGGTACGTTAGTACGGAGGCGACTGCGAGTCTGGACAGGTGTGCAAGTTCAACAAAGTGAACCAGAGCCCATACTGCGTTCCTTCTGATTACGAGTCCCCAAAGATGTAGACGATGGCAGAAACTGGGTGTGATGGGGTGATGGGTGCGGTTAGGTTCTCTTTAGACTGGTTGGTATTAGTGTTGGAATTTGTTAGAAGGATTAGATCTGTGGCCATTTAGAGGGCGGATGAAAGTAGACATTACAGCAAATACAGCAAATACAGCAGTTTACGGCGTATAGGTAGCATGTAGGGCAGGGACTCGAATGGTGGTCATGGCGGCGTGGCGTGTGATGAGAGCAAGTTGGGATGTGAAGCGTAGATGGGTGAGGGTTTTTTTTTTTTTTCTTTGCTATAACTCTCCTCCGTTATTGTCGGAGTATTGTTAAGCAAAAGGTTACAAGTAAAGATTAAATAGATTAGGCATGGCCGGGTAAGGCAGAAATATATTACTCTTTATTTTTAGTACATGTTGGAATACCGTTAAAGCATAAAATACTACGTCACCCCTTGCATTTTAGAGCGGTGGTGCAAGGGGTAGAATCATCCGAAGGCTGAGAGTCCGCGGGCCAAGCAACTCCCATAGCCATTACATTATCTGCATAACTACTGGGGCTCTTCTTTGAGGAGACACTTCTTATACTTGCCACGAGCAGGGTCACACAGAATTATGCAGACCCGTGGTCTATCTTATAGGGATTCCGCTTAAGAACCTGTCGTTTCCTTAGCTCTTGGTCTCTCATCTTCATCTTCATACCATCTGGAGGAGACTCATAAAACAGGTGACTACGATCAAATGGCGCATCAAGCATCAGGCCCTCGAGCGTCTTCACACGAGAGACAGCTACGTAGCTGAGACCAGTCTGAAAGTCCCGACAGGAGAGATCCGTAACGAGCACATCTTCAGTGATGCTTTGTGACTTGTGAACCGTAATAGCGTAGCACACGATCAGGGGAAACTGGGTGCGAGTGCAGAGAGTGCTTCCGATGAGGAAGTCCCTGTCTACTGGGAGAATCGGGACAATCTTTCTGCCATCAGCGGTGGTCAGGAACACAGGTCCGTTATACTTGTCAAACTCCGGTCATCAGTGGTGGTCAAGAACACCGGTCCGC